CGTGTGAACTATTGCTCTGCTTGCTTGTTGTGTTGATTGTACCCCACTTTGACTATGGGGGTGTGTCAGAATGTCGATGTTTGTCTAGCCTGCAGTGGGGTACTCTATAGCGAGTACAACCCAAGTAGGGTTTCCTATATGTATCTCAACTGCTGCTAGTGAAAACCCCTCTTTCCTGTTTATCGTTTTGGCCTGCTGTTTCGACAATCATCAGCGTTTCTGCACTCTGTTAGGCCTTGTGCCCACGTTTCCTCACTTGCTGTAGACTTTGCTTGTACTGCGATCTATATATATACCTGCATGCTTGCTCTGCTAGGTAGAGATCACTGTGCTGTTGTTGTTGCATATATACCTCTGCATGTGAACTGGCCTTGTGGCCCTTTGCTTGTGCTCAGTGTGTGTGGTGACGTTGTGATCCACCCTGAGTTTGCTTTGCTTCTTTTGACTGGTCTTGTGACCCCTTGCTCTCCCCCACTTTGCCTATGGGGGTGTGTCAAAGTATATACATGCTATACATGTTTAGGCTGTAGTGGGGTAGCCAATACGGGTACAGCCCCTTTTAGGGTTTCATACTTGTACCCAACCCTTTCATAGTTCATTCATTCCTGTCTCTAGATTCTAACAACGTTTTGTCAGTGTGCATATGCAACAAAATACTGAATAATAAGTGTTACGAATTAAACTAGAGCTGAATTTCTAGTGCTGTACTCCTAGCCTACTTCTGAAATCAGTGTAATTAGGATATTCATCCTGATAGGTACATTGGGCCTGCTGTCTGTACATCTCCTTTTTATACTTTTATCACCAGCTTGAACCTGTGATAGTCATAATGAGACTCCCTTGTGTTGGCAGCAACCATAGAATGGCAGCAGAGCACATATGTCCAGAATTTCAATAAAAGGATTCAAAAATTGCATATTTGTTTGAGGCTTCTTACAAGATTTCATAAACCGACTGATTTTATCACAAAAAACTACGAAGGGGCTGCCTGGGCTGAGAAAACTACAACGGACCGCAACGGACAGATCTGATAGGTACGGGCTCAGCGTATCTGGTTGATGATGACAGAATAAAGACACGCAGCAGAAGAAACAATAGATGAGATGAATGGGCTGCATGGTACGATGTTGTGCACCATTGACATAGTACAGTGGAACGCAAGTGAAGAATGATTTGTGTACGACAAAATGCAGACTGCAAATTGATTTGTCATTGGCAACTTACGTATATGCCGTCCACCACCGATCAAATGCCCCAGTCCAGCTGACCCGCACGCAGTCATCCATATTGTAAAAATGTAAGTATCTACAACCAACAGCACCACCGATACCCCTCGTTGCGTAAATTGTCTTGAAGTTCCCAACCACCTCCTCTGGGAAATTAGTGCACATATTATTCAACCAAAAAGTGTAGGGTTTGGATGCCCTTCCGCTGGCATTGCGATCCTGGATGAGTGTAATACTAGCGGTAGATAGTTCATTAGGTGAACCTGAGAATGGATGGCACAAGCAGCACGGGAAATGCGGAGCAGGGATTGAAGCGAACAAGAAAGAAGGGGCATGTCATGATACAGTGCATTGGGATAGAAAAGGACGGATTAGGCAAAAAGCCGACACACATTTAGTTGGCCTCTGTTGAAGAAAGTTATCGTTTGCAGCATCGGGTCACAGCTTCAGGTTGATTTTGAGTCGACTCAAAAGCAGACTCAAAAGCTGAGTCGACTCACAAGCTGAGTCGACTCACAAGCCTAATCGTTTGCAGCATCGGGTCACAGCTTCAGGTTGAGAGGCTCTCAGCTTCATGATCCGTCAAGCACCTCTCAGCTTCAGTATCCAGCACCGCATCAGCCCTCGTCAAACACAAAGGTAGGGGAATGCACCTAGTGATAGAAGGGCGGGAAGCAGATGGGGCGATAGTTTAAACTTACCCTCTTTGCATCCTGCTGTGGTCATCCCAAAGCCCAGGGGGCACTGGCAGTATGGCACCTCTGCCTCTTCCCAGGTAGTTGTATAGACGGTGTTGCAGGTGGCTCCCCTGGGGCATGTGCCACAGGGTGATTCTAAGCAACATAACAAGCAGAGGAGGCACACGGCATGGCAGAGAGATGGTGAAATGAGCACAGGAAATGGGCCTGTGTAGACAAATGTCGAGTGGAGCCAACAACAAAACGGGCAGCTGCAACAAAACATAGAGCTAGAGGAGAATGAGTGCAGATCGGTTGGGTTGGGTGGGTGTAGAGAAGTTGGAAACCCTGCGTGCGTACCCCATTTGCAAGAGCGAACGCCATCGGTGTTGATCACGCAAACCCCATCCGGTTCGCAACCCAATGCGGCGCAAGCGATGTCTGATGCGAGTGCACGGGAGGATGGGATAGAAGAAGGGGAGAAGGAAGAATAGGCATAAACGGCCGCAGGGTCGAATGCACGCAATCTGCATCTACAGGTTGTGAAAAACAGGTTGTGAGTCAAAAACAGGTTTAGGGTAAACAACAACTTTTGAGTCAGAAACGGGTTTTGGGTCAAAAGCAGGATTGGAGTCTATACAGGATTGGAGTCAAAAACAGGTTTTGAGTCAAGAAAAACTTTTGAGTCAAAAACATGTTTTGAGTCAAAAACAGGTTTGGAGTCAAAAACAGTTTTGGAGTCAAAAACAGGATTGGAGTCAAAAACAGAATTGGAGTAAAAAACAGGTTTGGAGTCAAAAACAGGATTGAAGTCAAAAACAGGTTTGGAGTCAAAAACAGATTTGGAGTCAAAAACAGGATTGGAGTCAAAAACAGGTTTGGAGTCAAAAACAGGTTTGGAGTCAAAAACAGCTTTGGAGTCAAAAACAGGATTGGAGTTAACCAAAAAAATGGCTGCCAAGTCGGATGCACACAATTTGCAAGAAATTGTAGTTGGGGGGAAGCCAAGATTTGAGGACTATGTTTGAAACTCAAGGCACACGTTTCGTGTTGATCCAACTCACCAATGCAAGAGAGCGAGTCATTTGACGGCTTAAAGCCCGTGTTACAGCTACAGAATGGATTCCCGTTTGCATCCCTCGTGCAGTTTCCGCCAGACCCACAATTCACCGCAGCACACAAGTCTGCAGGAAAAGAGACTCAGGAAAGAGAAAAGAAACCATCACATCAAGAAACTGGAATGTTGGGACACTGCCAGGTCATATGCAAAGCAAATGAATATGCAAAGCAAATCATGCAAAGAGAGTTGAAGAAAGGCCCCAAGTTTTAAAGAGTGGGTTTGAAACGCAAGGCACGCTTTGTGCTATTCTCCTCCAACTCACCAATGCAAGAGAGCAAATCAGTTGATGGTTTAAAGCCCATGTTGCAATTGCAAAATGGATTCCCGTTCGCATCCTTCGTTCAGTTTCCGCCAGGCCCACAATTCACCGCAGCACACAAGTCTGCAAAAAATGAAACCCAGGCAAGAAGAAGGAAAGTATCACCTCAGGAAACTGGAATGTTGAGATACAGACAATCAAGGGTCACAGGGTTGAATATGCACGCACATCAGCAACTCGTGCGAAGAGAATTGAAGAGAGACCAAGTTATAAGGACTGGGTTTAGAATGCAAGGCATGCGCATTGTGTTGCTCTCCTCCATCTCACCAATGCAAGAGAGCGAATCAATTGACGGTTTAAAGCCCGTGTTGCAACTACAGGTTGGATTCCCGTTCGCATCCCTCGTGCAGTTGCCGCCAGGGCCACACTTCACCGCAGCACAGTTGTCTGCAGAAAACGGGCGAGGGAAATGAAAGGAAATTATCACATTAAGAGATTAGAATGCTAGGATATCAACAATCACGAGTCACATAGTTGAATATGCACGCATATCAACAACTTGTGCAAAGAGACTTGAAGGGAGGCCAAGATTGGGTTTGAAACTCAAGGCAGACACTCTGTGTTGCTCTCCTTCAACTCACCAATGCAAGAGAGGCCGTCAACAGATGCCTTAAAGCCCGTGTTGCAACTACAAGATGGATTTCCGACCGCATCCCTCGTGCAGTTACCGCCAGGCCCACAATTCACCACATCACAGTTATCTGCAGATAACGGGACCGAAGCAAGTGGAAGGAAAATTATCACATCAGGAAACAATAATGCTCGCTCGGACCTTCACAACCAAGGGTGGCGCAGTCGAATATGCACACAGTCCGTCAACTTGTGCAATAACTTTGAATTCATGGGAATTGAAGGGAGGCCGATTTTTTCGGGTTTGGAACCAAAGGCACGCGCACTGTGTTGCTTTCCTCCTACTCACCAATGCAAGAGAGCGCGTCAGAAGATGGCTTAAAGCCCACATCGCAACTACAGAATGGATTCCCATTAGCATCCTTGGTGCAGTTGCCACCAGGGCCGCATTTCACCGCAGCACAGTTGTGTGCAAAACACGGGACCCACGAAAGTAGAAGGGAACTAGAATCTTGGGGATATTGACACTCAAGGGTCATGGAGTTGAGTTGACTATGCACGCACTTCAGATGGGACCCAGTAATTATTGCAAAGAGAGTCTATGGGAGCTAAGTTATAAGGATTCGGTTTGAAATGCAATGCACGCGCTCTGTGTTGCACGTCCCCGACTCACCAATGCAAGAGAGCGAGTCATTCGACGGCTTAAAGCCTGTGTTGCAAGTGCAGGATGGCTTCCCATTCGCATCCTTGGTGCAGTTGCCGCCAGATCCACAATTCACCGCATCACACAAGTCTGCATGGAGAAAGGATCCAGAATGTTAGTGAAGGTTTGACAACCAAGGGTGTATAACAAATGGATCATGTTACTGGATTGGACACAAGACTATGCAGCGTACGAAACATGGGTCGAATTGGAAACATAGAGAAGGGCAATCAGTACTGGACTTTCGCTCCCCTGTTTAAACGTAGCTATGCTATCAGAATTCTTACCTAGGCCAGTGCCATCAACGGCAGGATTAGGAGCAGCGTGGCAAGTGCCATTGATAGCAGCAAAGCCCGGGTTGCATGGACAGGTGACGCCCTTGCTGTCACTCGTTGGCATGCACGTGGAGTTGGCTGGACACGTGGCGTGCTGGCAGGTGATTTCTACGATGGGAGGGGGGGGGGGGGGGGGAGCATGGGAGAAGAGAGTCATGGGTAGCACAGAGACAGGTGACGGCCTTGCTGTCACTCGTTGGCATGCACGTGGAGTTGACTGGACACGTGGCATGCTGGCAGGTGATTTCTGGCAGCATGGGGTGAGAAGAGAGGCATGTGGGTAGCACAGACAGAGACACGTGGGTTGAGATGTGTGCAGCACGGCAGGTAAGACCAACACGGGGGTAAGACCAACACGGGGGTAAGACCACATGCAGCGAGGAGATTCAGGCAATGTGTGCTGGCAGGTGATTTGTGCGAGCATGGGGTAAGAGAGACACGTGGGCAGCACGGAGATACGGCATGGCTGGCGAAACCATCAGCCAGAGAAAAACTCCTTCCCATGGAAGGAATGAGATGTGTGCTGCAGGGAGGCAATGAGGCAAGGCGGCAAGGCGGCAAGGCGGCAAGGCGGCAAGGCGGCAAGGAGGAAAGGAGGCACAGAGGCAAGAAGACGAGGAGGCAAGGAACGCACCACACTTGCAGGAAACGGAAGCCCATCGGGAAATCTTCTTTGCGCTGCACGCAAGGACGGCAGAAACACATTCAAATGAAATGAGACGGTTATGTTAGCACGGCACAACCCGAGTTTACTCAAAAGGATACGGAAGCCCATCGGGAGCTGCAAACTGGGACTTCAGAAACAGATTTGGATTAGAAGGCACGAACGCATTCAAATGAGACGGCAGGAACACATTCAGATGTTACGTTTGGAACACATTCAGATGTTACGTTCGGAACACATTCAGATGTTACGTTTGGAACACATTCAGATGTTACGTTTGGAACACGCTCAACTGCTCCCATGACCCACCTGGGCACGTGGAAGAATTTCCTTAGAGCGGCAAACTGCGGCTGCAGCACCTCATCCAGCGCCCTGCCCTTGCAGGCCGGGTTGGCAAAAAACTTGAGTTGCTTGCACGCCGCACCTCCACCCTTGCTTCCGCCCGTGCTGCCGCCCGTGCCGCCGCCCGTGCTGCCGCCCGTGAGCCCGTGCCACCACACCTGCACGTCACCCGCCGCCTTGCGCGCCGCCCGGGGAAGGCTGAAGCAGCGGAGGGCGTCGAAGCTGACGGGGACGCTCACGCCCGGCACCGCGATCACCGTTGCCACGTGGACCCTTGCGTCCACCGCGCCGCCTTGGTCTGCTGCCACGTGAGCCACGGCGGCCGCTGGAGGGAGAGAGTAAGCAGAGGGGTGAGAGGGAGCAGAGGGGTGAGGGGATGGAGAGAATGTGCGTTCTTCTCAGAATTTGAGAAACGAACACACAGAGTGAAGAAACCCCTTAGAAACAACAAAGAGAGAACGACTCACCGCAGATGACGGCAAGGAAGAGGAGCCGAAGCAGCGCGGCAGGAGAGGCGGCCATGATGGCGGTCAAGCTGCCACGTCAGGTGGACTGGATTTGAGATAAATCTTGTGGTGCGCCGCTGCCAATGTGCTCCCGAATCGACAGGCTCTCGGGTGACGCTAGTCGCACGCGTGAGTTGCACGCGTGAGTCGCACGCGTGAGTCGCACGCGTGAGTCGCACGCAATGAGTAGCGGAGTGACAGGGTAGATGGCACTGAATGGTTGGTACAGGCGGTGCAATGCTTTTTGAGGTGCCTAAAAAATGGCTGGTACAAGGTGTTGCAATGCTGCAGCTGATACAAACAGGTGCTACTAGTAGCTACTACAGCTTGTGGAATGATAGCTGGAGATAAGGTAGCGGTATAGCTGCTGGCGTTACTATAAAAAAGCACGAGGAAATGGCACGGAAGCGGCAGAAAGAATGCTTCCATGGCTTCTCTGGCGGGTGGTATAGAGAAAGATCGGACGCTCCCCCAATCGCCGGAGGCTGATAGTGCAGAACGAGGCGCTAGGAACGCGATCGGTGGTGTCTAATTGGCGGTTTCGCGTTTCTAAGCGAGTCTAACTTGGATGCGCAATTGTGTGGCGTGCTGCATTGTGAATGCCAATGTCGCCCAGAAACAGGGCGACCGACTCAGCAGTCGCCTGCAGTGTCGCAACATGCGCAGCAGTCGTCAAACTAATTCAGCAGCATTCGCTTGCCGTGTCGCTCTGACTGGTGAACGACGAGCGAAGCTACAGGATTGGAGCCCACCGCAGGACAAATAAATTATTGATATAATAATGCAGATTCTGCGACCTCGCCGTGTGAGAAGGCTGTCTGGGATAAGGCACGAGGGAGTTGCGCTTGTTGCACATCCCCTCCTCTCCCGCCCGCGCAGCTCAAATTTGTTTTATTGGGCAGGCGGAGGGGATGCGCAAACGTTTATGCAACTGGGCGAACTCCCGATCTGGAACACCCTGGTTACTTTGTTCGTTTGAATGTGGATCAGTAATATGCTGTAAGTAAGTCTACAGATTTCTAATGTCTTCAATATTTTCTTCAAAAAAACAATCAGACCAAACTCTTCTACGTTAGGCCATGGAACACAGAGTAACTCGGTAAAGCTTGTTTTACAGTGGGAATCTGAGTGGCAAAAATGTGGAGATTTGGAACGTAGAGAAAGGAAGTCACGCTGAGTAAAAAGTGTGTTCAAGTTCGAACTTGTGGTGCGTTCGGTGCATGGTTGGAAAGAATCGGAGATCAAGACAATAACAACTCTGCATGAAATTGTGTGCGACACGAGGGCAAAATCAGAATTTGAATCACTTCAAATAGTATTGTGATTTCTAGTTTTGTACCTTATCTTTTTTTCCCCAATAAAATCACTTGGACAGTTATTCCTTGATATTTTCAAGCATACAAACAAAGTCTCAATAGTTTGGCACATACCCTGCGCACGTACAAGAGAGGTGATGTGAGTGCATGAAATGAAGGGGTGGAAAAGGGGAAAGGGGGAAAAAAGAGGTGGAACATGTTGTTTGAAAACAGGAGAGAAATAGAGGTGGGACATGGATGACAGCAACTCAGCAGGGGGATTGCAAATATGAGAATTGTGAATCTAAGAAATTTGAGGTGGAACGGAACATGCTTTGCAAGAACGTGCATGATAGCAGCTCAACAATGAAGAAGCAAACATGTATGGTACAACAACTTTCCACCCTCTAGGCATGACCAGCAGCAGCGCAACTCACCAACGCAAAAGAGATTGCTCGAATCGGAGGCATCTGCAAGCAACTCTCCAGGCGCTTCAATGATTGACACGAGCGCAACTCACATTTGAGACTACTACACAGGATCATTGCAAATCACTTTGTCATTAACCATCTTGGAGCCCCAGCCACACACGCAGGTTGGATCGCCATTGTCATTGTGCTCGCAAAACGCAAAGTCTTCGCACTTCACCCCATCACAGTTGTCTGCAGTCAAAGGGACGCAGGCAGGTGAAAATATACCATCACATGCGCACACTAGAGTAACTCATGCAAAGAGAGTTGAAGGGAGGCCAAGCATCAAAGATATGGTTTGAAACACAAGCAAGGCATGCCCTCTGTGTTCCAGAGAGTAGAGTTGGAGTGGATATGGTGTGTTGCTTTACTCCAACTCACCAACGCAAGAGAGCCCGTCAGAAGACAACTTAAAGCCCCATGTGCAACTACAGGATGGATTTCCGTTTACATCCTTCTTGCAGTTGCCGCCACGGCCACATATGACCGTGTCACACAAGTCTGCAAGGAGAAAGGAAGCAGGTGAGTGGAAGGAAATCATCACATCAGGAAATAGGAATATCTGGATATTGACCATTAAGGGTCATAGAGCTGAACATGCACGCTCTTCAATAACCCGTGCAAAGCGACCTGAAGGCAGGCCAAGCTTTAAGAAGGTGGGTTAAGACGCAAGCATGGCATGCCCACTGTGTTGCTCTCCTACAGCTCACCAGTGCAAGAGAGTGCGTCAGAAGACGGTTTAAAGCCCGCGTTGCAACTGCAGGATGGCTTTCCATTGGCATCCCTCGTGCAGTTCCCACCAGCACCACATTTGATTGCATCACACAAGTCTGCAAGGATACAGGAACCAGGCAAGGGAAAGGAAATCGTTGTCAGGAAGTTGGACTACTGATATAGTGACAGTCAACAGAGTTGAAGATGCACACGCTTTAGTAACTCGTGGAAAGAGAATTGAAGGGGGCCAGCTTGAAGGGTTTGGATTAAATCACAAGCAAGGCATGCCCTTTTTGTTGCTCTCCTCCAACTCACCAATGCAAGAGAGCCCGTTAAGAGACGGCTTGAAGCCCGTGTTGCAACTGCAGGATGGATATCCGTTCGCATCCCGCGTGCAGTTGCCACCAGGGCCACAATTCACTGCATCGCAGTTGTCTGCAGAATTAGGAACCCAAGTAGACGGAAGAATATAATTATATGAGGAAACAATAGTTATGGACTATCAAGGAGGGTCACAGAGTTGATTATGCGTGCAATTCGGTAATTCGTGCAAAGAGAGTTGAAGGGAGGCCGAGTTTCACACGTCCTACTCACTCACCGATGCAAGAGAGCGCATCAGAAGAAGGCTTAAAGCCCGTATTGCAGCTGCAGGATGGCTTTCCGTTCGCATCCTTTGTGCAGTTGCCGCCCGGCCCGCAATTTACTGCAGCACAGTTGTCTGCAGAAAACGGGACCCAAGTAAGTGGAAGGATATTTTTTTACGACGAAAGATTTCTTTTGGATCTTGGCAATCAGGGGTCACAGAGTTGAATATCCATGGACCATGGCATTCAGTAGTTCGTCCAACGAGAGTTGTAGAGAATCCAAGTTTCACTCCTCCAACTCACCAATGCAAGAGAGCGCATCAGAAGACGGCTTAAAGCCTATGTTGCAACTACAAGATGGCTGCCCGTTCGCATCCCTCGTGCAGTTGCCGCCCGGCCCACAACTCACCGCAGCACAATTGTCTGCGGAACATGGGACCCAGGCATGTGAAATGAACTAGTACAGCAAAAACTAAAACATTGGGATATTGGCAATCAAGGGTCACAGAGTTGAATATGCACGCAATAGTTATTGCGAAGAGAGTTGAGAGGAGGCCAAGTTTCAAGGCTTGGGATCGAAATGCAAGGCACACGCTGTGTGTTACACTTTCTTCAACTCACCAATGCAAGCGAGCATGTCAGAAGACGGCTTAAAGCCCGTGTCGCAAATACAGGATGGCTTTCCGTTTGCATCCTTAATGCAACTGCCACCCAGCCCACAGTTTACCGCAGCACACAAGTCTGCAAGGGAAAGGGAGTTGAGAGGCGGTCAACTTTCAAGGAGTGAACTGAAATGCGTCCTTCTTGCAGTTGCTACCATACCATGCATGAATCACTGCATTACACCATCCAGCAAAGAAAAGGATATGGAGGAAAGGATATGGCGATGAGCTTTGACAACCATGGGGTGTATAACAAATGGGGATAAGGAAAGGATGCAACGTAAGCATCAAATCATGGTTTGGGCCGGATTGCATATGCAGGGAGTAAGTGCACTCAGTAGTGACTTTTGAGGCGCCTCAAGGGTCGGGTTGGACTTCTGAGGCGCCTCAAGGGTCGGGTTGGATTGGATATGCAGAGAAAAAGTGCAGTCAATAGTGCAACCCTCGCAGCATACCTAGCATACCCAGAGTCACTGACGGTAGCAAAGCCAAGCCTTGGATGCACCCACAGGTGAGCGAAGAGGCAGGAGAGGCAAAAAGGTATCACTAGCAGCGTACCTACGCAGGTGCCATTGACGGCAGCAAAGCCCGGGTTGCATGCACAGGTGACGGCCTTGCTGTCAGTCGTTGGCATGCACGTGGAGTTGGCGGGACACGTGGCGTGCTGGCAGGTGATTTCTGGCAGCATGGGTAAGAGAGACACGTGGGGGAATACAGAGAGATGAGGCTTGGCTGGTGAAAGCATATGGGAGAGAAACTCCCTCTGGTGGAAGGGATGAGATGTGTGCGGCATGGTGGCAAGGCGGCAAGGAGGCAAGGTGGGAAGGAGGCAAGGAGGAAAGAAAGCAACGAGGCAACGATGCAACAATGCAGGTTGCAAGGAGGAAAGCAGGGAAGGAGGGAAGGAGGCAGGGAGGCAGGGAGGGAAGGATGCAAGGAAGCAAGGAGGCAAGGCGGCAAGGCACGCACCACACTTGCAGGAGACGGAAGTCCATTGGGCAACCTTCTTTGAGCTGCAAGCAGGGACAACAGGAACACATTCAGATGAGACGTCACGTTAGGGCGGCACCAACATTCAGATGAGACGTCACGTTAGGGCGGCACCAACATTCAGATGAGACGTCACGTTAGGGCGGCACCAACCGAAGCACGAGCGTGGGACAAGATTGTGGCCCACGTCTGCGGCATCCGTAGAGGCGTCTCACTCCCCCGCCCCCACCACCACCTGCCCTCCCCCCATCACCACCTGCCCTCCCCCCATCACCACCTGCCCTCCCCCCATCACCACCTGCCCTCCCCCCATCACCACCTGCCCTCCCCCCATCACCACCTGCCCTCCCCCCATCACCACCTGCCCTCCCCCCATCACCACCTGCCCTCCCCCCATCACTCACCTGCCCTGCATCCACGACCAAGACCCACCTGGGCACGTGTGACTCAAGACCCACCTGGGCACGTGTGACTCAAGACCCACCTGGGCACGTGTGACTCAAGACCCACCTGGGCACGTGTGACTCAAGACCCACCTGGGCACGTGTGACTCAAGACCCACCTGGGCACGTGTGACTCAAGACCCACCTGGGCACGTGTGACTCAAGACCCACCTGGGCACGTGTGACTCAAGACCCACCTGGGCACGTGTGACTCAAGACCCACCTGGGCACGTGTGACTCAAGACCCACCTGGGCACGTGTGACTCAAGACCCACCTGGGCACGTGTGACTCAAGACCCACCTGGGCACGTGTGACTCAAGACCCACCTGGGCACGTGTGACTCAAGACCCACCTGGGCACGTGTGACTCAAGACCCACCTGCCCTGCATCCACGACCAGGACCCACCTGGGCACGTGTGACCCAGGACCCACCTGGGCACGTGGAAGAATTTCCTCAGAGCGGCAAACTGCGGCTGCAGCACCTCATCCAGCGCCCTGCCCTTGCAGGCCGGGTTGGCAAAAAACCGCAGCTGCTTGCACGCCGCACCTCCACCCTTTCCCCCACCGCCGCCCCTGCCGCCGCCCGTGCCGCCGCCCGTGAGCCCGTGCCACCACACCTTCACGTCACCCGCCGCCTTGCGCGCCGCCCGGGGAAGGCTGAAGCAGCGGAGCGCGTCAAAGGTGACCGGGAGGCTGACACCTGGCACCGAGATCTGCGTCGCCACGTGCACCCTCGCGTCCACCGCCCCACCTGTGTTCTGCTGCGTTGCCACGTGTACAGATGCGTCTACTGCGCTGCCTGTGCCGCTGTCACCCTCGGCCATGCCTGAGAGGGGCGAGGGGAGCAGGGGTTGAGCGGATGGAGAGGGGCGTGAGGAAGCAGAGGGGTGAGTGAGAGGAACGGGGCAAGCGCTTACAGAAGAGGCAAGCGCCTGAAAGTAATCCCAGATGTAGCACGCTTGCCTGTAAGCTTGGCTTGGCGGTGAGGGTCGGAAGGCATCCCCGCTGCGCCTGTAAAGAACCCCCTTCTTTGGCCCAATGGTCTAGCGGAGAAGTTATATCATTAGAAATTGAGAGAAAAAACACAGAATTACGTACGCCTTGGGAACGACAAGGAGAGAGAAACGGCTCACCGCAGATGACGGCGAGGACGAGAAGCGGAAGCAGCGCGGCAGGAGAGGCGGCCATGGCGGTCAAGCAGCCACGTCAGGTAATTCTTGCGCAGCGCGCTGCTGCCACGTCTGGTGGGTCACGCGCAATGAGCAGCGGAAGGTGGCTTCGGGGGTTGCGAGCTGAAGTGCGAGCTTAGCTTCGAATCGCGATCCTGTGGCGTGCTGCATTGCGAAGACCCGCGCAGGCCGGAAACAGACCTCCGGCTCAGCAGGCTAAGGCCCGCAGGGCGACCGACTCAGCAGTCTCCTGCAGTGTCGCTCTGGCTGGTGAACGACGGTAGGAGGTTGAACGAAGCAACAGGATTGCAGGACTCCAAGCAATGTTGCCCTATGTTCGTCTGGGACAGGATGGAGTTCCCGCTCTAGCACGCAAGTGAAATATTGCAACCGCGCAGCTCACATTTGCTTATCAATCTCACGGCTCACAGTTGCTCATTTCTTCTCACGGGGTGAATTATTGAAATCGCACGGCTCACATTGGCTCATTCCCTTCCAGCGGAGCGTGAATTATTGGAACCGCGCGGGCGGAAGGGATGCGCACGACGCGTGCTGTGCGACAGAGACCCCAAATATATAATTCGTTTCAATGTGGATCAGTAAGGTGATTTACTATCTATAGGTTTCAGTTAGTATAAGTTGAATACTTTCTTCAGCAAAAACAATCAGATAGACTGACTTAAAACTGCCTAGTGGCATGGAAATCTCACCTGCAGCATTACGAAGAGTTTTGTTTTTGAGATATACATTTCACATCCACGTATTTAGTTCTCTTCCATTAAATTTGCACCAACAAATATCAATATATTACAAAGATACATTATTGATGGTGCTGAATACCAGAGCCATTGAGTGGGAGAGATTTCATACTGGAATGACAGATGTAATTTAGCATTCTCGAGGGTGTAGTAATACCAAGAAAACGTACCTTTGTTGGTGAGTAATCTCTGAAATTGTACGCTTTACTGTAAGCTTGTTATCAAGAGAAGTATCAAGTTTGACGTCTTGACCCATACCCACGTTCGAGGGATATTTTTTTGTTTGCGCGTGTCAGATTCCATTTTATCGATTGTACGGCAAGGGCCAGCGCGGTAGATACTGTGGCGTCACTGGCGTGTGAGTGAAAGTTGCCGTGGGCATGTCTTGCGTGTTCAGATTTGTCTTACTGTGTGACGTGGCTCCCCTCTAAACTGGGGGTGAAGGCACTCGTCCTAGGCAGGCCATTGGCAGAAGTTGTGGCATGATATCTTGGTTAGGCTCGGAGGTACCAAGGTGGCGTACGTTTGGAAATACGCTTGGAAGATTGCTCTCGTTCGGACCCGTGCGTGAGAGGTTGGGTGGGGAGTGAGAGGGGCACACAAGAGCATACCTCGTCATCATTGCATCCCGAGGTGCAATGTATGAGCTGGCCCCCAAACCTGGAGATGTTTTTCTTGATATGTTTCCTACTTGGACCACGAGGCTCGTCAAACAAAAAGTGACCAATGCAAGAGTGACAAATAAGGCGCCCGCACATGCCGACGAACTTGGAAAAGTTTCATGTCTGACGGTCCTTTCTAGCATTATCCGCGCTGGCACAAGGAATCCTCCTAGTGGCAGGCGCTCAGCGTGTGTATGCTGAAACACACTGTTCCATGAAGGGCAGCTCCTGATCGTCCAATGGCCGGAATCACCCGAGATTTGTTATGAGCGGCCATTGGACTCCGCCCTTAGAGAGGCCTGGGCAGCTCTGAAAAAAATTGTGACGCCATTTCCCAGTTCGTGCTGGCGCTGTTTGGGCAGTCCCTGATTCGAGGGCATTGGAACGGAATCAAGCCGAGCTCAGCAGCCCCTCGTTCTTGCTCGTTCTGTAGACAAGCCAATGGAAGGCTCTGCATTCAAATGCTCACAATCAGCCTCCGCTTACTGACACGTACAATTTCCTCGAGCACACTTCCTCGTTTTCCTTGATTTCCCATTTAGTGGCTCTGTTCTACTCTGAGTAATCCCAGGATTTAGTCAACGACAAGCTGGAAGTATCTTGTCTTGTTTCTAGAGCAGCTGAATTGCCTTCAGGAGGTTTGGTACATTTGCTTCGAGCGAAATTGCGTCGTAGTTCCAGCTTGGAGTCATGGCTGCACGAAGAGCGCTGATTTTCTCCCAGGGTTCTGCTGTTGAGCGTCCTCAATGGCTTGATTGTCTGCTGAAGGGGGATTTCTTCTCTTCTTGCACGCGACACGTGTCGCTGAAGAAGAACGAAATGAATTTGTTCTGCCTGGACTGCATGGAGGAGCTTTGCCAGCATTGCATGCCAAGCCACCAATCTCATAAAATGCTCCAGGTACGTTCATTCGACAAATTTTCGCATTTTGAACAGCTGCATTGCATGTTTCACGGGGAATTTGAGCGGATTGCGAATTTCGGCGAAGGCGACGGTCGAAATACTACATTTGAGAGTTCAATTGACCTTACCACAAGCGAAACAGACTCACGAATTTCTCCTTTTGCTTTGTCCAGATTCGGAGATACGTGTATCACGACGTTGTTCGGCTTCAAGACATCACGAAGCTCGTGGACTGTGGCGGAGTTCAGGTGCGTGAATCTCTTTTTGAGTCGACTCAAAAACAATCTGTTTCGGACGTTGCAGTTGATAATTCCTTTCAATGTAATTCCTGCCATAACCAAGATTTTTCCCGTTCTTTTTAACAGGCCTACATTGTCAATGGCTCAAGAGTGGTGTTCTTGAACCAGAGGCCTCAGCCCCGACCGACCAAGACGACCAATTCATGCCTGACGTGCGCGCGAATGCTTCAAGACGAATTCAGCTACTGCTGTTTGGGTTGCAAGGTAGGTCTCCGATTCGAGAAACTACTAGCCGTTTAAAACGGCTTCACAATTATCAATTACAGGCATCGGTCCATAGCGAAGCCGAATTTCCGACCAATTCTCATCAATTGTCCTCCTACGCTGCAGGTAGAGGCTCTTGAACGTCTGAACGCGCCTTCGTCAGAACCGATAAAGAGGAAGGCTACGGCTCAGTTATTGGCCAGCTTAGCCACGTCAGACAGCGGGTCTTTCTCTTCTCAGGATGAGCTGTCGCCTATGAAGCACGACGACTCGCGAAATTTCGCCTACTCCGATAGTGGCTCGTCCTTCGAGGAAAAGGAGACGACGTCCCATGATTACGACTACTCCTCCGTGCCTAAACGTTCGCGAAACTCGCGATCGTCGTGGAGCTCTTCGCCAAGGTCTGTCCTTCCTAGTTCAAACAGAAGAAAAAGTACACCACAGAGATCCCCAGCATATTGATGGATATCGCCGGCTGATTGACGGACATCGTCAACTATCTGACGGATAACGCCCATTAATTGACTGAAGTCGCCTTCAGCAGACCGATGCTGCTGCCACCCTCTCCAAACTGGTACCAGTATTTATTAAGCCTCGCAAAGAGCTGAGGCGATCCGTGACTATCACCACCACTTGCTGACAACCAGCTTCCCCCCACCCTACGTCAGCCCTGATGGTATTTATTCCCAGGTGCACCATCCAACCATCCAGCCGCTTCAACACCATCCAGCTGCACCATCCGTCCCTCTCCATCTTTGTACATCCACCAGCCTACTCCTAATGGTTCAGGCTATCACGTCTGACTTGTGGTGTCTTCAATGCAAATTGAAGACTTCCTGGCGTACTGCTGCTGCTCAGCGGTTAGCCAGGATATTACTGCATCTCACAGTATGGGGATTCTGGGTAAAAAGTATCCTCTCTGTTGTACTCTTCGCCTGGAAATAAATTCCTGCTGAAAGACTCTGCTGTTGCTCAGCCTTAGCAAAGTTACTACTGCAATTCACCCTAAGGACTCTGGTTCATCTTATCCTCTCCGCTTTGTTGTACCCTTTACCTGCAAGTAAATCTCTCATCTTATCCAAGGCTACTGTTTTTTTGCCAACCATGGCAAGGATAACCTATTGCATTTAAAGGCCTTGGGTTGCACTAAGGAATCCGTAACTTGGAACTGATAAGCATGCTCTCCAACAATTGGCCACACGAAGCAGAAAAACAACAAAGCGTATGTATCTAGTTCATGTTAATTGGCCAACTATGTTCAAATCTGAACATAGGAATGCTCCAAGCCATCATCCGCAATGCCAGAGAACATACGGCCATGGGTGCTATATGAGGTGCACAATGCCGCTTGCAACCATGACTCGATTATTGACCTCCATTTGCTGCATGGTGACACAAGGAATGGGAGATTAGTTTCAAAAGTTCCTCAACCATCAACACTCGACACCAATAACATAAACTCTTTGTCAAATCGCGCAGTAGCCATTCCATACATTAACCCACTTGTGTACGCACTTTACCTCAAACGAGAAACATTGGCCAGAGTGGCTCAACTCAGTATGCTTACACCACCACCACCCCACTCACCATCATCTCACCCTCATCCCACCCCCATCTCACACTCATCTCACCCCCGTCTCACTCCCATCTCACCCCCCCATCTCACCCATCCCACGCCTCCCCCCCCTCCCCATCCTCCCCCTCCCCCATCACCTCACCTCCAGCATGGCATCGATTTCAGCCCGAGTGAAGCTCTTCCCCGGCCATCGCTTGTTGGCCACCTCTGCCAACTCATCCACTGCTATCGACTCAACCCGCGCTGCCACCGCATGCTCACTGAACGCCAGCTGGAAGGCATCGAATCTGGGTATTAAATGCACAGGGAGAGGAGAAGAAAACATTGGTGTGACCATGGCCCATCACTCGCGCTGCCACCGCATGCTCACTGAACGCCAGCTGGAAGGCATCGAATCTGAGTGTTAGATGCACCGGGAGAGAAGAAGAAAAACGGATTGATGTGACCATGACATTCCACCCGACTCCGTCACTCGCGCTGCCACCGCATGCTCACTGAACGCCAGCTGGAAGGCATCGAATCTACAATTTGCATGCATAAAAAAAGGGCAGAATGAACACAGTAAAGACGAGAAAGTGAGGAAAATAAAAATAAAAATGAAACACCCAAATGTTTTTCTCGGGTGGACGTCTCGCCAACGACACATTGAACCAAAACAACGAGAAAGAAGCAACTGATTTTGCCGTGAATCAGAAAGACAGAGAAAGGGCAGATAGCATGAAAGCCCCCCGTTCAGCACTGAACGTTCCATCTGCAGCAGAAGCTGGTGAAGGGTCACCTAGGGCGGCGATGGTGTGAGGGAGTGAGGGAGAAAGGAACAGAAACCCCACCTTTCAGCAGTAAAGGCCCCATCGGCAGCAGAAGCAGGTGCCGGATCTCCCAAGCTGGTGGGGAGAGGGATATGGAAAGGAGATGGGGGTTACGGACAGGAAAATGGCAATTGGGAAAAAAAAAAAAAAAAAAAAAAAAAAAAAAAAAACTGGCACCAATTGTTAAAAACAAGAAATCAAAGGCTGTGTTTGTGCGGTTAGGAGGGTGCTTGGGGAGGAGCAGAATCACACAAGGGCTCCCTTTCCTAATCTACCCACCAACACATGTGTCATCACCAACACACAAGAAAACAAAGCACGTACTGTGGAACCCCGGCCGCAGGTGCTTCCTCCATCTCAATCTCCTCCACCTCCTCCTCCTCCTCTTCCTCCTCCTCCACATATTCTTCCTCTTCCTCCTCGCTCCCTTCCGCCTGTGAATCCCTGCGTTGCCTCTTCCCACGGGACCTGCAGGGACGAGTGGGTGTATCCAAAAGAAAGGGGGAAAGGGGGACAGATCGCAAAATCAAGACGACTTGCGGGTGGGCGCTGATACAGCCTGGTTTTGTCGTTGACGCAGAAGCCTTTTGAGGCGCCTCAAAAGTCGCGATACAGCATGGTTTTATTGTTGACTCAGGAGCAGTCTCCTCGTCCCCCTTTCTTTTGAGTCGACTCAAAAGTCAACTCGCGGGCGCTGATGCAGCCTGGTTCCCCTCCTTGAGTCAGAAGTCTCCTCGCCCACTTTCTTTTGAGTCGACTCAAAAGTCAACTTGCAGGCGCTGATACAGCCTAGTTTCTCTCCTTGGCTCAGAAGTGACGTTTGAGTCGACTCAAAAGTCAGCAAGAGGACTTGCGGGCGCTAATACAGCCTGGTTTCTCTCCTTGACTCAGAAGTCTCCTCGCCCCCTTTCGCCTCTGAATCCATGCCAATGCATCTTTTCCTTTGCTTCCAGCTCTCATTTCCATATTTTTTTCCAAAAAAAAGTTCAGAAATGATACACGCTCCACGTCCCACCCACCCATCTTGCCAGCCACAAAAGAGCTACGCACCTGGTCTTGCGCCCGCCTCCTTGCCGCGTCCGTCCCCCAGCTGCTGCTGCTGCGCCTCCCACACCACCAGCAGCACCAACCCCACCAGCAGCACCAACCCCACCAGCAGCACCAACCCCACCAGCAGCGCCCTTAGCAGCACTATACAGTTAACGCACCTTGTCTTGCGCCCGCCTCCTCGCCGCGTCCTTCCCCCAGCTGCTGCTGCTGCTCCACCCAGACCATCAGTAGCACCAGCAGAAGCAGCACCAGCCCCATCAGCAGCACCATCGCCAGAAGCGGCCGCGGCAGCAGCGGCGGCAGCAGCGGCTTCTTTCCGCTGCTGCTCCACGCGCTGCCTCTCCTCCTCCATCCGCTTGTCCGTCTCATCCAGCTCGCGGTGGTACAGAGCAAAGTCAAGCAGGCTTAATGCCGCTGCCACATCCGACTCCAACACCTGGGGGGGGGGACGTGGACGTTGAGCAGGGATGGGGAGGAGCAAGGAGAGCAAACATTTGACTCCATTCGCTGCCTCTCCTCCTCCTCCATCCGCTTGTCCGTCTCATCCAGCTCGCGATGGTACAGAGCAAAGTCAAACAGGCTCAGCGCCGCTGCCACATCCGACTCCAACACCTGGAAGGAGCACGGGGAAGAAACGGGTGGGGAAGGGATGGGAGCAAGGAGAACGAAGCACTCAGCTTTAACCCAGTCCCTTCCAACAACTCCTCTCCTCCTCCATCCGCTTTTCTGTCTCATCGAGCTCGCGGTGGTGCAGAGCAAAGTCGAAGGGGAGGCAGCGCATAGAACAGCTTATCCCCACACGCACTCCCCTCCCCACCCTCCCAACAGGCCCACTGCACACTGCCAAATAATGGCCCCAACCCACCACAACCACCTCCCGCCGCAGCTTCAGCTTAGCATGTGCGGTGGACAGGCGGATCATGGTCTCGAGAGACTCGTGCCTTGAGGCAACTTATAAACACTGGAGGCAACCCACCTCACCAACACCACCCCCCCCCCCCCCCCCCAACTGGACTCACCTCTCGTCGCAGCTTCAGCTTGGCATGAGCCGTGGAGAGGCGGATCATCGTCTCGAGAGAACGGGCCGTTACAGGGAGAGTGCCTTGATCCGACTGGGGTGGTGGAAGGGAAGGGAAGGAAAGAGGTGGGGGGGAGTCAGGAACTGCGTTTTATGCGAAGCTATGAAGCGCTTAGTTAAATATGATATTACATGCGCTTACATGCGCGTTTGCACATGCCTCAAAACAGCACACCTTGAGGATATCTCAGAAATCGTCTCGCAGCTCAACTCACCCTCCTTCTCGCGTCCATGCCCTGAGCCCTCATCTCCGCGTATGCCTGTGCAATCTTCTCTGCTGCCTGCATGCCAGCACAGGGGACCAGGGCAGAAAGGAAAAGAGGAAGAGGACAAGGAGAGGCAGCAGGAGGGAAAGTGTTCCTGATGAGCCTGAAATACAAACTCTATGCATTTGTTTTGACGTCGTACAGAGAGACAATGCACCACAATATGCCTGTGCTTTCCTCTCTGCTGTCTGCACGCACAGCAGGAGGGATGAGGGGCCATGAGAGAAGAGTCACCTTCGTCAGACATTGCAGGGTTTTTTTGAGAATTCTCAAAAAATCCCTGCAGGGGCCATGAGAGAAGAGTCACCTTCGTCAGACAGGTGGCAGCCAGCAGGCAACTTCCAAGTTACGCACCTGTCTGATGCACCTGAAATGAAACAACGATTCTTCTGAGACGATTTTTGAGGCGCCTAAAAAAATCAACTTCCAAGTCGATCCGACAGATGCATCTGTCTGATCTGATGCACCTGAAAAACCATTTCTTCTGCATTGCCAATTCCCCATGGCCCCTCCACACCAGAAACACACACACACACACACATCGACCCAACCAACGAGCAACCCTCATACCCACACCACAATTACCCCACAGAGAAGAACCATGCTTCTTACCCGATTGGAGAGTACGGGGGTGCGGCCGCGGGCAAAGTGGAAAAACTTCTTCAAAAACCGCTTCTTAAGAATCTTCCTTATAGGCTCCCCAGCCTTTCTCTCCCCGTGCAGTAAGCGATCGTACTTAACTAAGTTCGCCGCCAAATCAGCCGCCCCACTGCTACCCCCTCCCCTTCCGCCACCCCCATCCCCTCCCCCTCCTCCTCTACCCCCGCTCCTGGTCCTAGGCCGGCTAGTGGTCGGATTGGCATCATCTTCACCGTCCATTGCAGCAGCGGAAGCATCTGGGCCGTCCGCGTCCCCACCCTCTTCCTCCTCGTCCTCCTCATCTGCGTGTGCTGCTGCCATGGGTATATCCCCTGGGGCTAGCGCTGAGGGGAGGGAGTAGGGAGAGGGGCGGATGGAAGGAAGAAACTCGAAAGTCAGCCGAGAAAATGTGTCGTTCCTCGTACCTTTCCTCTTCCTCCTCCTCCTCCTCCTCCTCCTCTGCATGTGCTGCTGCCATGGGTATATCCCCTGGGACGAGCGCTGAGGGGAGGGAGGGAAAGGGGGGAAAGTGAGTGCCATGAGAAACACGAACCATGGCTTGGCATTGGAGTTGAATTTGAAAACGGCCTGAAGCAGAAGGAAAGAGCAGCAGCAGCAGCAGGAGGGAGAGGGAGAAGTGAAGGAACAGCTTACTGCCGTCGTCGCCAGGCAGGCGGTAGCGGTGCATTCGGAGCACGTGATTGGCTATGCGGGTGTCCACGTCAGCATCCATCTGGTCGACGAGGATGAAGAGAAGATCGAATCGAGACAGCAGCGAGTCGGGCAAGCCGATGTTGCGCATGGGGGAGATGGAGTGGTCGTACTGGGGGAGGGAGGGGAAGGGGGGGATTGGGGGGGATGGTTAGAGAGGGGGAAGGAGGGGGGACACGGGGGGGAGCTGGGAATCAGGCAGTAGTGAAGAAGTGACGGATCAGCAGTAGTGAAGAACAGGGGAGACTCGGGGGCGGGGGATAGGAATTTAATGGCTAACAGCAGTCAGCAGCACTTAATGGGCAAACACAGGAGTATCACTCACGGATCCGTAGATGGGATTGGCCGCAGCAACAACGCTGCAGCGAGCATTGAGGGAGGCATGGATGCCAGCCTTGGCGATCGTGACTGTCTGCTGCTCCATCACCTGGAGGTGCAGGGAGCAGGGGGAATGAGGAAGTGCGGCAAGGGGAAACGAACGGTGGGAGCATGGTAAGGATGAGCAGCAGTGCACATGCTGTCAGATAGCAAGTGAGCGTTGAGGGACGCGTGGATTCCCGCCTTGGCGATCGTCACTGTCTGCTGCTCCATGACCTGCTGTGAAGATGGTCGGATGGGCGGATGGGGGGTTGAGAGAGCATTGTGAATGTGAGCAGCAGCTGCTGTGGAGCGTTGAGGGACGCGTGGATTCCCACCTTGGCGATCGTCACTGTCTGCTGCTCCATGACCTGGTGTGAAGATGGGGTGAGAGTGGCGTGTATGCATGCTTGTGTGAGTGTGAGTGTTTGAGTGTGAGTGAGTGAGTGAGTGAGTGAGTGAGTGAGTGAGTGAGTGAGAGAGTGAAAGAGAGTAAGCCATCCCATTCTTCCCAATCCCATCCCATCCCATTGCACGCAAGCCAAACCAGCCCCAAACAAAGCTCTTGCGTTGCATTCCCAAGCCACGCCATGCCATGCCACGCCACGCCACCCCACTCACCCACCTCATGGATTGCAACACGGTCGGCGTCGCTCATCTTGTCAAACGCATCGTACCACGCCATGCCATGCCATGTCATACCATTCCATACCAGGCCATTCCACCCCACGCACCTCATGGATGGCAACCCGGTCGGCATCGCTCATCTTGTCAAACTCATCGATACACACCACGCCTCTGTCCGCCAGCACCATGGCCCCTGCTTCCAGCCTCCTCTCGCCTGGCAGAAATAACGTGAAGAGGAGAGCAGCAAGAATGATCAGATGGATCATGGCAAGGGGAGCCGCGTGCATGATGGCTCGAGGCAACTGCGACTGTGGAAACCACAACCTCTCTTGACCTTACCATAATCCTAAACCCCGAGCAAGACTTGTTGTTTGCTTCACACCTGTCTCCTGGTCGGTGGTGACGGCAGCAGTGAGACCCACGCCTGAGGAGCCCCTCCCATTGGTGGAGATGGCAAGGGGAGCAGCATGCATGATGGCTCGAAGCAGCTGCGACTTGGCGACAGAAGGGTCTCCCATCATAAGCATGTTCACGTCACTGCATGGGAGTTTGGGTGTATGCGTGTATGGGGAAGAATGGTGGGGGATGAGCTGAGGGGGGCGTGGCGTGGCGGACACATGGCAGCTGCGACTTGGCCATCAAGTCCATGCTGATGGTGGGCCACAGAGGGGTCTCCCACCATCAGCATGGACGGAGCCAGGGACTCCCCCACAACCCCCCTCGCCGATGTGTGAGGCTCCTTACACCTCGACTCACCCTCTGATGTGCGTCCCGTTGGGCAGGTTCTTCTCGACCCCCCCCAGCAGCAGCAGCGCCAGGGCCTTCTTGACCCACGCGTGGCCGCAGATGGAGGGCGCTAAGGACTCCCCCACCACCCCCCACGCGTCTGACCGTGCTGCCAGCGCCCTCACTGCCCTCACATCGGCTGCTGTCATGCGGGGAGCTACCGCGTCCTTGCTCAACTGCATCACATTGCATGCCACCAGCACCGTTCTGGAAGGGATCACAAAGGCAGGGAGAGAGGCATGGGAGCAGCCTTATAGATGCCCACCACTGCTGCTGCCAGAGGCTCAAGGGACCCATCCCACCCTATCTCTCTACCCCCTTACCCCCCTAACCCAAAACCCGCCCACCCCCCAACACTCCCCCCCTCAGACCCACCGGAAGGTGCCACTGATGGTGCCAGAGGCGCACATGGGAGCAGCCTTGTAGATGCCCACTATTGCTGTGGCTCAGGGGACCCATCCCACCAACCACCCTACCCCCTTTCCACCCAACCTCCCCCCTGCTAGCCCACCGGAAGGTGCCACTGATGGTGCCGGAGGCGCGCATGGGAGCAGCCTTGTAGATGCCCACTATTGCTACACGGTCCCCCGGCTTGCATTGCATGCATCCACCAAGTCGTCCTCCAGCAGCACGTCCAGTGACCGCGGCAGCTGCCCTGCCCTGCCCTGCCCTTCACTGCCCTGCCCTGCTGGGACTCTCTCAAAAGGAGGGAAACCCCACTCTACCATACTCTACCCACAGCAACCCCCAGTAACACCCAGAAAGCTCACCGGAAGGTGCCACTGATAGTGCCAGAGGCGCGCATGGGAGCAGCCTTGTAGATGCCCACTATGGCCACGCGGTCCCCCGGCTTGCATGCATCCACCAGATCATCCTCTAGCAGCACGTCCAGCGACCGCGGCAGCTGCCCTTAACTGCCCTTCACTGCCCTGCCCTGCCCTGCCAGGCCTCTGTCAAAGAAAGGGCGGAAACCCCCACCACATCCTGCCCCCCCAGCAACTGCAGACTGATCCCCAGTATCCCCAGAATGAAACCCACCGGAAGGTGCCGCTGATGGTGCCAGAGGCGCGCATGGGAGCAGCCTTGTAGATGCCCACTATGGCCACGCGGTCCCCCGGCTTGCATGCATCCACCAAGTCGTCCTCCAGCAGCACGTCCAGCGAACGCGGCAGCTGCCCTGCCGGGGCGTTCTCAGGCATCTCCTGCATCGCCATCGCCTGGTGGTCTCGGTAGCGGCACAGGCCAAATTCGGTTACTAGGATGTTGCCTTTGTCGTCCTGGAGGAAAGAAACCGGTTCAAAAGGAGGGGTAGAGAAGGAGTAGGAACGGCGTTCTCAGGCATCTCCTGCATCGCCATGGCTTGGTGGTCGCGGTACCGGCACAGGCCGAACTCTGTGACGAGGATGTTGCCTTTGTCGTCCTGGTGTGGTGTGAGGAGGGGTCATGCAGAATTAGGCAGCTGCCCTGCCGGGGCGTTCTCAGGCATCTCCTGCATCGCCATGGCTTGGTGGTCGCGGTACCGGCACAGACCAAACTCGGTAACGAGGATGTTGCCCTTGTCGTCCTGGTGTGAGGAGAAGGTGATGAAAGGGAGGGTCGCTGCAAGGGGAGCAAGGCGTCCTTACTTAGAAAAGTTCCCTACACAGCCCGACTTGGTCGAGGGTGTTGCCTTGGTTGCCGTCCAGCAGCACGTCCAGCCAAGGAGGAATGATGGGAAAGGAAAGAGCAGAACGCACGTTGGTGGGGCAGATGGCGGGCGTGGGCAGGCCAGTGAGCGCAGTGACGTCACGGTACTCCCCGGAGGAGAATGCCCCTGTGCCTAAGTCACCTCACCTCACCTCACCTCACTGCGAGCAACTGCCATAGAGGCAGCGTCACTCACCTTGGTGGGGTAGATGGCGGGTGTAGGTAGGCCGGTGAGTGTCTCGATATTCCCGAGAGGAAAAGGCCTTCGTGACAGAGTCACCTCACCTCACCTCACCTCACTACAATCAACTGTCTTCGACGCAGCGCCACTCACCTTGGTGGGGTAGATGGCAGGTGTAGGCAGGCCAGTGAGTGCAGTGACATCTCGATATTCCCGAGAGGAAAAGGCCCCCGTGTTCGGGCAGTAGTGCACACTGCGCACCACCTTGGGTCGCACGGAGGAGCCTGGACGACGGGAGAGGGCAGGGAAGGGGTATATGCAATACAGCTTTAGTGGCAGTAAAGGAGGAGACGGCTCCCGTCAGGACAATAGCCCCCCTTTCACGCGCTAACAAACACAATCACACTTAGGGACAATGCCGTACATGCAAATGATTGAGTTGAGAAAGGGCAAGAGCAGCTCTCTGGGAGACAGCTGGTAACCACCCGTATAATTTCATAATCGCACACATACGCCCACCCACCCATTGGCAACCAACTGAACTCCAGGCCACCGCACTGCACTCACACTTAGTAACGATGCCATGCACGCAGACAAGCGAGCTGAGGAAGGGCGAGAGCAGCTCACGAATTCTGGTAACGACCCATACATTGTGGTAGGTAACCCCACTCATACACTCGTACTCGAATCCACACTCACACTTGGTGACGATGCCGTGCACGCAGACGAGCGAGTTGAGGAAGGGCGAGAGCAGCTCGCGGGGGGACAGCTGGTGGAACCCAAACGGCCCCTCAAACCCCACGCTCACTTCGCCTCCCCCCACGCCCGTGGCTGCAGACTCAAGCAGGTGCTTGGGGTGCGCCAGCTTCACTGCATCCTCCACTGCGCTCACCAGCGCTGGGTAGAGCTCGCCTGGCGTGCGGATGAGCCTGGTAGGGGGGAAGAAAAGTGATGGGAAGGGAAGGGAAAGAGAGGTGCAGGTGTGGATTCGAGCAGGTGCTTGCTTTTGCTTGGGGTGCGCCAGCTTCACTGCATCCTCCACTGGGCTTACTGATGCTGGGTAGAGCTCCCCTGGCGTGCGGATCAGCCTGGAAGTGGGGGGGGAGAGGAACGGGGCACTGTGGGGTGTTGCCTCAAGCCGGTGCTTGGGGTGTGCCACGCGCACTGCATCTTCGACTGCGCCCACCAGTGCAGGGTAGAGCTCGCCTGGCGTGCGGAGGAGCCTGTGGGGGGAAGTGGGAAGCCAGGGGAAGGAAGAGGAGGGAAGAGATTTTGAGCAGGTGCTTGGGGTGTGCCATGTGTACTGCGTCCTCCACTGCGCTTACTAATGCTGGGTAGAGCTCCCCTGGTGTGCGGATCAGCATGGTGTGAGGGGGAGAGAGAAGGGAAAAGTCGATCCGAAAACATGCCTTGACCACTCATGGGACGAATTATCATAGACTCCTAGTGTTGAACGTGGGAGAGTAAGGCACACCGATGGGAGATACATTTACCTGTCCAGAACCTGAAACATTATGTTTTTCCAAGTAAAAATAAAACGTCAAATTACCCTGCACATTGCAACCACTCTCACCCGAGCCTGCACACCAGGTCCGGCGGACAACTGTACCTGCGGGCGAGGTGCGGGTCGAAGGATCGGAGGTCCGAGAGGTCAATCAGGAGGCGGTGCTTGCCCGCGTCCACCATTGTGTTGATTCGCTGCATGTAGCGCGCCTTGGGGTTCTGGAGGGAGGAGAAGGGAGGCAAGGGGGAGAGAAAGGTCCGAAGGGGGGAGAAGGGGAAGATGTTGAGGTGAGAGGAGGCGGTGCTTGCCCGCGTCCACCATGGCGTTGATTCGCTGCATGTAGCGCGCCTTGGGGTTCTGCATGGCCGAAAGAGGCGAGAGGGGAGAGGGGGACGAGAGGGTGGGAGAAGGTGAGGAGAGGGGTTGAGGGAAGTGGGTAAAGGCGTCAGCCCGCGTCCACCATGGCGTTGATTTGCTGCATGTAGCGCGACTCGGGGTTCTGCGCAAGCGGGGAAATGGAGAAGGAGAATGGGGAGAGGGGATGAAGGCTTGAGTGGAAAAAGGGGGAGGGGAGGAGGCGGTGCTTGCCCGCGTCCACCATGGCGTTGATTCGCTGCATGTAGCGCGCCTTGGGGTTCTGGAGGGAGGAGGAGGGCGGGGATAAGAGAAAAGGAGGGGTGGTTGCAGGGAGTGTGGGGGGGGGGAAGAGGTGAGGGGGAATGATTATAGAGATCAGAAAACTTCAAAAAGACTACCCATAACGCAGAATGAGACACATGGAATTTAACACATGCACCGCAATCTCGAACGTACGTCAGGATCGAGAAACCCCATGAGCTGCTACGTGGTACGTGACGCCTAAAAAAAAACGTGTTTTTTTTTTTGTCGACAAAAAAATACGAGAAACCCATGAGCTGCTACTCGTCACATGACGTAAACTATCAATAATATAAGAGCTGTTTCGCACCTCGGGGTCGAGGAACTCCATGAGCTTAAACTCGTTTTAAGACGCCTCGCTGTATTGACGTAACAACGACATAAACATATTCGCACCTCGGGGTCGAGGAACTCCATGAACGTGCGCTTGTGCGCCAGCAGCGACTCCTGGTTCAAATCCGCCATGGCTGCTCAGCAGTGCGCAGCGATGATCAAATCCTGGGCTCAACGCTACCGCTGAACCAGAAGTCAATGTTCAACGGATCGAGTCGCCAAAAAGCGTTGAAATTATCTTCCTTCAGTGCATGAAACTCAAGGATTGTGGATAATAACGGGTTTGAACCGCAACTCTTAACAAGCAAATGCTGCCACTAGATTGCCGGATTAGTTACGATCATGCTACCCGACTGTCGAGACAGCAGGCGAGAGACACAATACCGAAAGTTTCTTGACCAGCTAACCGCAGGAGACAAGTCCAAACGGGAAGGTCCCTCCACAGAATAAGAATGCGCTGCGGCGTGGGACTATGTCAGTGTCCCTGACAGAAAGCAGCTACTGAATATCTGCCGTCACGGAAAGACCGCAAAGGCTGGAACGCAAGTAGCCGTTTGATTTGAATAGAAAGGCGCGGTGGCAATTCCGAGATTCGAAGCTGCAGATCGACTCGCCACAGTACTGCAGCCACGCTAGAATGTTCTGAACCTAACTGAAACGCGTCCAACCTCGTCTTGAGTTGAGACTGAAGGGCGATCAGATATGGATCCTCGACACAGTTACCTGAGCTTGTAGCAGCAAAGCCTGGATAACAAACAGCTTCAAAGAAGACAGAAAATTATGGAGATTTTAAAATCAGTTTCTAATCCTTCCTGTTTCTATTAACTAAACAGCTGGCCAAGATGCTCCGTTTGCTGTGTTATAAGTTGTCTTTCTGCCAAGATACTGAAAGAGTAATAAATAGTTGAGTCTTAATGGGTTGCGCTTTGGTGATTCACTTTATCTGTAAACTAATTTTCGTCTTCCCATGCCCTGCAGCGCGTCTGCATGTAGTGGGTACAAAAAAGTGTGGTCCCAGGCGCGGCGGACCCTTCTGGCCCAGAATCTAGAGGAAATGACAAAGCGCCCTGTTTTCCAGTTTCCGATTCCTTTCGGCAAGGGTTTTGACACCACCCTGCTTCGCGCTCGCGTCCGATACCTTCGGGCCGATAATTTCGCTAATTCCCTTTCCGAGTCCTACCAATAATAATTTCTTTTATTTATGGGGATACTCCAAATCAAGCGTCGCTTTATAAACTAGCAGCTCGGAACAAAAATATATATACCCCTCTTGGATGGCATGCCATTCGGGAGGCATCAACCCTAAACACCATGAGGCAAGGTGTTTAGGGTTGATGCCTCCCTAATGGCCAGCCTTCCGAGTGGGTTTTATTTTTTTACAGTGGCCATTAAACTGAAACCAGGTAGTCTTCATAATTGCCCTCGTCACAAGAAATTAGAGATGTCGGAAAAAACTGCCCCAAGGAATCGGACGCGAGCGCGAAGCGGGGTGGTGTCAAAACCACTGCCGAAAGGAATTGAAAACCAGAAAACAGGGCGGTCCGTCATTTCCTCCAGAATCTAGGAAGAGGGTACAGTGCGCCTCCGCTCGCGTCTCCCTGACAACAGTTCCGTCCCAATGCGGATTCGACCAATCACAGCGATTGGCATAATCCAACCAGACCCAACCGACCTGATTCCTTCTAAACGACACGAGAACCCAGAAGCACCCATCTGCTCCCTGGGAATCTCCCTGGAACTGGCGTTTCTTGGGAATCTCCAGACTTTTGTGCTCTTATCCAAGGCGACCGACCTTATCCAAAAAATTGTCCGCACAGATTGCTCCCAGCCGAAGCGGCTGATTACTCAACGGAGGAGTAATTTCACCCGTTACTCCTTACCTTCATCTGTTTCCGCTCCGTTTTATCGCATTGCACGTCGTTCCCTCTGAAGCTTCTAGGGTTTTCCTTGACGGAGCTATGGATCACGATCAAGCGCTGCGGCGACTTCAGGTTTACGGTCGCCATATCGCACCCGCCTATTCGACCCCTCCAGAAACCACCAATAACGAGGCTTCTTATAACGACTCCCAGCTGAACCTGCAACCCTGCAGCAGCAGCAGTGGTCGCAGCGCGAATGGCGGCGCGACCGGCGTGTACGCATCGGCTACGGGAAAGCCGTCAAAGTACGCGTTGATGCACGGCGAGGTGTCGAGCGCGCCCGTCGTGTGGCGGCCGGGCCGCATTGACGGGCCTCCGCTCCAAGACGTTCTTTACGAAACGGCCGTCGGGGAGGGAATTGCCAAGGTATAATCGATGTTCTGCACTCCTTTGACAGATTGTATACCTCGGGACGTGCATTCGTGAAGGCAGTGCAACAGTGGATAATACTAGGAAAACAATCGCTAATTGTCGACTAAGAGAACTGCCTGATACCACCCCTCACCCTCCCGCAATCCTGGCCGTCAGATCACGATCAACCGGCCCGAGAGGAGGAACGCGTTTCGGCCGGAGACAGTGAAGGAGCTGAAGCGCGCGTTCGATGCTGCGAGGGACGATGTGACCGTTGGCGTGATCATCTTCACCGGCAAGGTGAGACTCTAACAAAAGGCGAAGGTGAGATGTGAACTTAGGCAAGGTGAGGTTTCAGCACAGGCACGGTGAGAAGTGAACTCAGGCAACTCATGAACTATCTTCTCTCTCTTACTCTCCCCCTCTGTCTCTCTCAGGGCGATCTGTCGTTCTGCAGCGGGGGCGATCAGGCCGTGAGGGGCAAGCACGGATACGTGGGAGGCGACCAGGTGCCGCGCCTCAACGTGCTGGACCTGCAGGTGTGCTTTTGGTGTGTGTGGATTATTGTTGTGTGCATATGTATGCGCATGCGTGGCCGATCAGGCTGTGAGCGGCAAGCACAGATACGTGGGGAGCGACCAGGTGCCGCGCCTCAACGTGCTGGACCTTCAGGTGTGCTGATTGGGAGAGGGGAACAGGAGAAGAGGGGATACAGGGGAAGGGAGAAAGGTTTAGGATACGTGCATGTACACGTGCGTGTAGGGGGCGACCAGGTGCCTCGACTCAACGTGCTTGGCCTGCAGGTGTGTGTTGTGCGTGTTTATGTGGTGTAGAGGAGAGGGAGGTTCGGTTGCCAGGGTGTGCATGTGCATGTACACGTGCGTGCGTGTGGGGGGCGACCAGGTGCCTCGACTCAACGTGCTTGGCCTGCAGGTGGGTTAATGGGAGAGGGAAGAAGGAAGGAGGAGAGGGAGCGGGGGAAGGGGGGAGAGTGGAGAGTAGGGCTAAGAACCACAATGGATGAGTAGTTCTCTCACTCCTTCCAATCCTGCTGCCATTGCCTTTCCCCCTCTCCTTTCCGTCCCACGACCCCTCACTCCGCTCATATTGAGAGTTGTACTCCCTCCTCCCCTCCTTCCCCTCCTCCACCCCCTCTGCTCCTCCACATTCCACCCTCCACTCTCGCCCTTTCCCCCTGTGCCACTCGTGTCACTGCAGGTTCAAATCCGGCGAACCCCCAAGCCCGTCATTGCCATGGTAAGTCAATAATTCCCTAGATAATATGGGCAGGACCCGCATGGTGTCTTTCATCTGGTGTGTCCTTCATTCCTCTGAACCGAGCAGCGGATGTGGGCGTCCTGCTCTTCAATACTGCTCCGTACCGCTCTCCACCACTCTCCCTCTACCTCCGTGCAGGTTGCAGGGTACGCCATAGGCGGAGGCCACGTGCTGCATCTGGTGTGCGACATCACCATGCTGCTCTGGTCCATATTAGGTGTGCTTCATTTGGTGTGTTCTCTACCGCTCTGTACCGTTCTATCCTCCTGCAGGCGGCAGGGTACGCCATAGGCGGAGGCCACGTGCTGCATCTGGTGTGCGACATCACCATTGCTGCTCTGGTCCATATTAGGTGTGCTTCATTTGGTGTGTTCTCTACCGCTCTGTACCGTTCTATCCTCCTGCAGGCGGCAGGGTACGCCATAGGCGGAGGCCACGTGCTGCATCTGGTGTGCGACATCACCATTGCTGCTCTGGTCCATATTAGGTGTGCTTCATTTGGTGTGTTCTCTACCGCTCTGTACCGTTCTATCCTCCTGCAGGCGGCAGGGTACGCCATAGGCGGAGGCCACGTGCTGCATCTGGTGTGCGACATCACCATTGCTGCTCTGGTCCATATTAGGTGTGCTTCATTTGGTGTGTTCTCTACCGCTCTGTACCGTTCTATCCTCCTGCAGGTGGCAGGGTACGCCATAGGCGGAGGCCATGTGCTGCACCTGGTGTGCGACATCACCATTGCTGCTGACAACGCTGTGTTTGGCCAGACAGGGCCCAAGGTGAGACGGGGACAAAAGCAAAGCAACCCCACAGAGGCATGGCGCTGGAATGTGTAGGCGTGGATCGTCGTTGGTGCTCACTAGGTAAAGGCTGTGCCGCACGTGCTGCACCTGGTGTGTGACATCACCGTCGCTGCTGACAACGCTGACAACGTCGTGCGAAGGGTGGGCAGGGGCTGAAGGTGAGGGTGGGGCTGAAAGTAAGGGAGGGGATTGATCAAATTGTTTGATGCCTAGCTACCCATGCCCAGGTTGTTCTAACCCCACTACTTTCTGCCCACTACTCCCCTCCCAGCTTCGATGGGGGGTTTCCATCATGTCTCGCCTCGTGGCTTGCATTATCAGCATGATCGTCTCACCCCCACCTATACCCCTGTTGCTATTGCCCGTCGCCCTTCACTATCTGCCCTTCTCCCCGTCCAGGTGGGAAGCTTCGATGCAGGCTATGGCTGTTCCATCATGTCTCGCCTGGTGGGCCCCAAAAAGGCACGGGAAATCTGGTTCCTCGCCAGGCACTACACGGCCGCACAGGCGCTAGACATGGGGCTCATCAACTCTGTTGTGCCGGTGAGTGCCTTGTGCCATGTCAACATCGGGCTCATCAACTCTGTTGTGCCGGTGAGTGCCTTGTGCCATGTCAACATCGGGCTCATCAATACCGTCGTGCCGGTGAGTGCCTTGTGCCATGTCAACATCGGGCTCATCAACTCTGTTGTGCCGGTGAGTGCCTTGTGCCATGTCAACATCGGGCTCATCAACACTGTTGTGCCGGTGAGTGCCTTGTGCCATGTCAACATCGGGCTCATCAACTCTGTTGTGCCGGTGAGTGCCTTGTGCCATGTCAACATCGGGCTCATCAACTCTGTTGTGCCGGTGAGTGCCTTGTGCCATGTCAACATCGGGCTCATCAATACCGTCGTGCCGGTGAGTGCCTTGTGCCATGTCAACATCGGGCTCATCAACTCTGTTGTGCCGGTGAGTGCCTTGTGCCATGTCAACATCGGGCTCATCAACTCTGTTGTGCCGGAGAGTGGTATTGATCCAGTGAGTGTTCACTATGTCAGAGCTGTTGCTATTGTGGGTGCTGTACGGTTCTGCACAGGTGTTTTGTTTTGTGTGCCTATGGGTGTGTGGTGTGTGTCATAAAAAGGCAGCTGTGCTCCAAGAAGGCGAGGGAGATCTGGTACCGGGCGATCCTGACGAACAGAGACTCCGCAGACTATTCATTCTCTCGTGTGTTCCCTTTTGAGGCGCCTGAAAAATCACCAAAAGGCCGCAGCACTGGGCGAGTGAGATGTGGTACCGGGCGATCCTGACGAGCAGAGTCGCAGCAGGACTCAGCAGGCTATGCATTCTCGCTTGTGTTCCCTTTTCTCTCCTGACTTCTGTCCCCCTCTCCTCTCCTCTCCTCTCCCGTGTGTGAATCATCAGCTGGCGAATCTGGAGCAGGAGACAGTGAAGTGGTGCCGGGAGTTCCTGCAGCGCAGTGAGCCAGGCGACGAAGTCTGCTCACTATGTTGCCTTACCCTGTGCCCTCCCACGTTCTGTCTGCGCCTCTCCCACGTCAGCTGGCGAGTCTTGAGCAGGAGACTGTGAAGTGGTGTAGGGAGATCCTGAGAAACAGCTCCACTGCCCTGCGGGTGCTCACATTTCTCCCTTTTCCTAACCTCCCAACGTCTGTCCTCTCCCATGTGTGAATCATCAGCTGGCGAATTTGGAGGCAGAGACAGTGAAGTGGTGTAGGGAGATCCTGAGGAACAGCCCCACGGCCCTGAGGGTGCTCAAGTCGGCAATCAATGCGGTGGACGACGGCACTGCTGGCTTGCAGGTGGGCTGTGCATGATGTGTGGGTGATAAGTCGGGTGCTGGTTTGCATACAGCAGGTACACCCTCTTTCGCGCCACACTGTCATTGGCCATATTGACGGACCGGCTGTACTGACATCAATGCGTCCAGAATTGTCCCAGAACATACCATATAAGCACCTTTGCCGCACTCAACCGTACGCAAAAGCAAGTTTTCTTCCATAAATCGTTGTGTACCGTTCCTCTGGAGTGGAGTTGCCCGCCACCTACCTGGGGTTCGGTTGCAAGCACCAGATCGCTAGGGTCCAAGCAACAGTACGCACTGTAGCCAGTGCTTCCCATTGTTAGTCTGGCGAGAAAGAGGGTGTAATGTGTCTACGGGATGAAGGAATAGCCTCGCGGCCCTGAGGGTGCACAAGTTGGCGATTCATGTTGTGGATGACAGCACTGCTGGCTTGCAGGTAAGTTGAGATACGTGTGCCATGGTGCATGATGTGTTGTGTGTCATTTGTAACACAACATGGTGCCATGGTTACTGACCACACGGCCCTGAGGGTGCTCTCATGTCGTTAATCAGCACGGTCTATAGGCATTTTGCCATGCGCCACAATGTGGACCATCTCTCTCACAGCACTGTTGGCTTGCAGCTGGAGTAAAACATGTGCGTAGCATGCTCGCGTGCGTTGCATGTTGGTAGTGTGTCATCTGCGTGCCGTGCTGTGTATGTGGGATGTGCATCCCATGCAAGTAACATGTTATGTGCCACATGTCTCTGTTGTGTTAAACAAACACTTCCTTTCTCTCCGTGAACAGGAGCTGGCAGGAAATGCAACGCTGATTTTTTACAATACTCCGGAAGCAGTGGAAGGCCGCGAGTCGTATTTGAGCGGGCGTGCGCCAGATTTCTCCAAGTTCCCACGGCTTCCGTAGGCACCAAATTATTACTATCTTCCATTTAGGGTGAAGAATGATTCAGCTGTCCAGCGAAGCCGTGCAGCACCACCAATCACTTCTTTAATTGTTGTTCTCTCTATGCCACCATAATACTTGCTGTAGGTGAATAGCACAGAATACGGCTGAATATGGTTTATTATACTAAAACCGAAGCCACTCTCTTTGGGCGATAATTCGGGGGAGGTCGACTAGTGCACCGCAGCGAATGCATTCGCCACCACCCACCACCCCTGTGGTGGTGGTCGGTTTGCCGTGGTTCCCTCCAGCTGGGGCAGCTAAGATTCCTTTGGGCACGCTTGTTGGTTTGCAGGAACACTTCGATATGAGCACGCCACGCGCTTTCATTGGAACGGTTTGGTCCTGTGCTGTTCTTGCGCGAGAAGCGCTGCAACTGGGCTGGGCAACTTGGACTCGAATATTATCGCACGGATGCGACAAGGGATGTCACAACCACGTTGCGCTTCGTTGTGGCGAAAGTTGTGGAGTCGCCAATAGCGGGCAGCCGCTTCACGATAACAAAACCAGGCGAAAGTCGCTTCGCCTTGCAACATACGTGGTAGAAAACCAGACGAGCGAAGTTCCCTTTCGCACTGCAATGGACAGGCTTGACTACTCTCACGCACGAAACTCATAATACTGTCTCGGTAACTCGGGGTTACCCGGACGGTTCCCAAGGTTCCGTCTGTCTGACCGACCGCCGCCGCCATGGGCAGTGCTTCTCGCGAAGTGGCTGTGACTGCCCCATACGACCATGCTGTATTGTAATTCCCTCCAAACCGAACCACTCTCCCTCCCAACCTATCCCTCCCACTCTCCCCACAGGGAGTTTCTTTTGTGGCAACAACCGAGCAAGGATGAACTGAACGGTATTCCCGCTTCTCGTTCTCGCAGCCTGAACCAGCGCGAGCCTCCATTAGGCCAGTAGCATCCCAGCTTTCCCTTTCTTGCACGGTGTCCCATGTTTCGCGCGCTAACCCCAACGGTAATCTTCCTGTGTGTTGCTGATCACCGCACTCACCGTCTCATCAGCATGGATCAAGAAAGACCGACGGTTTTCGCTGGAGAACTGTTGAGAGTAGACTTCAACGTAGGAACGGAATTTAGGCGCGAAATTTAGGCCACAATAGAAATTCGTCGATCCTTATCAGGCACGCGGTTTCAAAGCCAGCTGCTTCTGGTAACCGTTCTCATCATGAACATCGATAGCCGTTCACTCTAGCCAAGCGGAAGGCGGCCGTGGTCCACGGCTGGACGTAAAATCAGCAAGGTTTTCCGTAGGCCGTCGTCGGCACGTCTGAGCCGAATAACACGTGATTTAAAACTCTCCATGAAAGAAAGTATTTCCGAGGTCCGGTTTGCGAGATAGTGATGCAACCCTTTTTGACAACGACTAGGCCGCGGAGAAGGCGGGGACTGCGGCGGGAGTCGCTGCGTGGAATAGGCTCATCGCCATGTTACTACGGTAGTAACATGCAGGCGTATATCGCGAAATTTCGTTATAATCCAATGATTCTCAAAGTTGCGCTGCTCGTTACCGTGCTCTCCGTCTCCTCCGTCCGTCTTGAACAGCCGCTCCTGCTGCGCGTCCGAGCCGCAGGTGAGAGGCCAGGTGCAGGCCGTAGGCCGTTGTCCTGCCGCCTCTTGCTGCTTATATTCCTCCATCCTCTTTTGAAACATCTTGAACCAAGCTCTCCCTCTCTTTTCCTCAACGTCTTCATTCATTCACGCTTTTTGTGTCCCTGCCCCCCCTTATCCCAGGGCACAGGAGTGCATTTCACGACCCATCCCGCCACTCGTCGCTCTACCACCTGCATCGGAGCACTAGTAGTGTATGGCATAGAAATAAGAGCGCTTTTACCGAATTAGCGAGTTCATACACTAACGAGGATGATTACAGTTCCGATACGGACGGTCCACAATTCGTGAGAATACAGTCACAGACAGAGTCATCTTCAATACTGTCACACCGCGCACAGGCACAGGAACAGTCACACTCACAATCACAGGCACAGCTTTTGAGATGGGCCGAGCCTCAGGAGTGGATGAATCCGTGGCTGAGGCAGCAGGTTCGGTCCGAGCCTGCAACGATGGCTTGGCTGGAGGAGTCCCTGGTGCAGGAGACTCGTTCAGAACCTGCAGAACTACTTGCTTCCGAGCCTCACTCTTCTGCCGAGCCTGACTCTGCTGGCTTTGCTTCGGTGTTTGCTGCTAATGCGAGCATAAGGCAAGGTGAGGTTCGGTCATTGTGTGGCTATTCAAGGCTGACGTGTCACGTGGTCAGGTAAAGGCTTTCATGTCTCACCTGATGCTGTCGTGGTACAAGGTAAGTCTGCATGTGTTTGCACGGACAAGGTCAATTCGCAACACGGTTTTGAGACGTCTCAAAACATGTCATACCACCGCTTTCTTCGCTCCTCCTCTCCCCCTCCCGGGCTCCCCTCCTCCCCCCCTCCTCTTTCAGGATCAGCGTGCTCCCCCCTGTCTTCAGCTGTGCTCATCCGAGTGACCAGCGAGGCCGATTTCATCAAGCGCAGGAGCCACCTTCCCTCCACCTCCGTCATTCTGGAGCTTCAGAACCACGTCACGCTGAAGCGAGGGCTGCTGTTCGGGCCCAAGTATGCGTGCACAATCCTGCGATCGGGAGGCAAGGCCAAAGGAAGGGGGTATCGGCTGTACGTGCATCTGGTGGATGAGCCGATACTCCGTATATGGAACACCAGCAATGTGATTGTCTACCGCGTGCAGGTGGGTTGAGAGCGGTGCTGTGCGATGCTGTGTGGTGTGGTGGTGCGATGTGCGGTGGTGTGCGGTGGTGTACCTCTTTCTTCCCCGGATTCCCTTCCTCTGTCTTACCTAACTGACCCCCCTCACAGATCTCACAGCCGTTCCGTGCCTACTCGACCTTGTGCCCCAAGCTCCACACACCCCTCTCCCCCATACACCCGTCACCCTTGTCCCCGCTTCACCCGTCACCCTTCGCCATTCCCCACTCCACACCCCTTTGCCCCTCCCACATGCAGATGTCGCAGCCGTTCTGAGCCTACTCGCCCGCAAGTCCCGTTGAGATCCCTTACGTGACGTGAGCACGAACGGACGTCGTCTGCTCTCTCTCTCTCTCCCACACCCCACCCCCCTCCCTACCTTCACCCACATGCAGATGTCGCAGCCGTTCCGAGCCTACTAGCATGCCCCAAAGAGATCCCTGACGTGGGAACAGACGTCAGTCATTTGTTCGTTCATCCATCCACGCACGCCCCCCCGTTTCGCCACTCTCTCTTCGCAAATTCCCCCACATTCAGATGTCGCAGCCGTTCCGAGCCTACTCACGAGCATGCCCCAGGGAGATCCCTGAAGTGGGAACGGACATCATCTGCCCTCTCATCCACGTCTACCGCTCCTACGGCGTTCAGATCGTTAAAGTGAGTCTGTCTGTTACGAGTACTAACAGTAACAACGATGGCATGAGGATGACAGCAGTGCATGCCTGCAAGACGGGGCAATGGAGCCATTCTTGCTTTCCCTGCCTTTCCTTACCACCCACTTCCTGCCCCCTCCTGCCTCCACCCCCAGTCTTCCTTCCACGTCCTCTATTTCAAACCCGCTACCTCCCCTTCTACTTCCGTCTCTCTCCTCCCCTTCCCACAGGGCTACACGTTTGGCCGGGTGGACGTGATTCGCACGATGCACAGCCGCATCGACAGCATGAGGATGACAGGCGTGTCTGATTTCAAGAGGGGCAACTGACAGAGCCATGCTTGCTCCCCCTCCCCTACCCTCAGGGCTACACCTTTGGGCGGGTGGACATGATTCGAAGTATGCACAGCCGGATCGACTCGATGAAGATGACGGCAGTATCGGATTTCAAGAGGGGCAACGGAGTGATCCGAGTGATGCTGTCGGGGTATGGGCCGCTGCTGGTGCGCTGCTATATCTACGTCACCAATAATGAGATTTACGGTGGGTGGATTTGATGGGGTGCGGTGCGGTGTGGTGTTTTCTGGTGCGGTGTGGTGTGGTTTGGTACCCCTTGCTTGCTGCCATGTGTACACTACCAATCATGGGCCTCTGCTGTCGGGGCATGGGCCACTGCTGGTGCGCGCATACGTCTACATCACCAACCCTCTCCACCCCTCTCCACCCATCCCGTCTCCCTTCCTCCACCCTCAGGGGCCTACCTGCCAGTGCTGTTCCAGTTTGGAGTGGTGGGAGCTGTTTTCAAGAACAACCACGTGCATGACTACGTGTGGGCTGCCATCACGTGTGGCAACATGGTGCATTTGCAGGTGAGAGGAGTTGCTAAAAAGGCATGGGGAAGTTGCAAGGAAAGTGTGCATGTTACGACGATTCGCGAGCATGTTATGCGCATGTGCAAAACCTTAGTCACCAAACCCCCCCACTCCCTCCCGTTCCCTCCCTCCCGCCCTCACCCATCCTCTCCCCTCCCTCCCAGGGCAACTGCACGCTCCACACCATCTCAGATCAGAGAACCTTGTTGTGGCAGCAGGAAGCAACCTCAACGTCTCCCATTCCATCCCGCCCTCGCCCATCCTCTCCCCTCCCTCCCAGGGCAACTGCATGCTCCACAAAAAGTGTGGAGGCTCCCCTCACAAAGAACCTCGTTGAAGCCATGGGTTGAACCGCATAACCATCTCAATCTCTCCGAACCCCGTTCTATCCCTTCTCAGGGCGACTGTATGCTCACTTCTATCTCAAACAACCTTGTTGTGGCCAAGGGCCGGAACCTGACCGGTGGGGGTGACGCCACAGGGATCTACTATGTAACTCACTGGAATAATCCGGGTAATTTGGCGGAGTGCAACTACATAATCGGGGGTGACCACTGCTACTACCTGGACTATGCCAGCTCGGGCGTGACTATACGCGGAGGGGCTTGTATCGGGACGGTGGATGGCATGAAGGTCAACAACGGGAAATGGTGAGTCAGCAATGAGAAGAGGTGAGTCAGCAATGGTAGTCTGTGAGTCAGCAGTAAAAATTGCTGTGGTGGGATGGGTGTCTGCAAGCAAGGGTACACATACGCACATTGAGCATGTTTCCTCCTCCCAATCGCACGTGTTCTACCCCACAGGAACCGCATTCAGCATGTGGTGATGAAGGGCACGGAGCTCACACCGGGGTGGTGCACGTGCCTCACTGCCACTGTGTGCAACTGCCTCAAGGACCCGGGCAACTACTGGGACCGCATGCGAGCCAAATACTACAGCAGTGCTGCGTTTCAGCAGGTGGGTGGGTTGTGTCCCCCTTATATTTCAGGTCATTCCCGATACGTAAACTCACGGATCTTTAAGCATGGCATGAAATTTTCTCGAGCTGACCTTCGTGTCTCAATCTGACTGGGTCGCTTCTAAACGATAATCATAAATGATTTCCTTTGAGTACTTGTAATGTAAGGTGTCCAGCTCCCCTATGGTATGCAGTTCAAATACCAACTTGTATTCGGTATGCTTCTTGTTTCACCAATTTTGTCCCCCTTGTTGAACGCCCCCTTGTCAGATATGGCCCTGGATGAAGAACACTTGTTCTGAAACGTCTGTTAACGGGACTTCGTGTAACACAAATGCGCCGGGCACCCTAAAGGACACAGAGACAGGCAAGTGCAGCGGGCTGCCCACAAATAATTACATCGACCTGGTATTGGTCGATGTGCAAGACGCAGACATGAATTACCGTTACTGCGAGCAGTTGCCGAATGTTCCAAAGCTAAACACCCATCGGCATATCAATGTAACTTCTGCTTCGGCGCGATTCATTGATTATGCCAAGGACGACTTGGGTGTTAGAAGAGGATCAGACATTTTGAAGAAACGGCCAATGTTCAAAAACTGCCCCAGGAAAATAGTTGGCCCCAAGAAGGTGAGGGATGCGTTTTATCGTATGTATTTTGGTATCCAAATGCCGTGGCACTTTAGATTGGTGAAATGGATGAATGGGAGTCATTTTCATGATCCTAGTTTAGTTTATTAATACGTAACGCTTTCGCATTCTCATTGCACAGTCCAATTCATTCATGCGCTTATTGCAACGTGTACTTTCCACGTCGTTTGACGCATTTCTGTTACCGTATCATGAGTTAAACACCGTATAAAGAGCAAGTACATGCAGCGTGAGAAAGACAGTGTATGCTCTTATAGCAAGAGAACCACACGCTATTTGTATTTTCAGAAACTTTGGTTCTTTGAGAAACCTGATCAATACCTGCATCAAGTATGGGCTGAGATTCTTTCAGACAATGTGTCTTTCAGACAGCAGTTTTGCAAGAACTTATCATGTGGTTCTCTATCTAAAACATATGTCTAGGTCCCTTGGCTTACCAAGGGGGCCTCTTGTGGTGGGTGCATTTTTGTGAGTGCTGCTGACAGTTGGAACCTGATGGCAGGCAAGATTTCGCTTCGTCACGAATCCTGCTGACAGCATTTCTTCCAGGCCCAATCACGTTCTAGAATGCCACTTTCTCCAGCCTCAGATCGACGGTCAATTACGTTTGTCCGCCTAACCAGCCTTGCCGGACAGTGAGTTTCGTTGACCGCGGAAGGAAGAAACCGAACAGCCGCCAAACGAACGATCTTGAGTTCACCTCACCAACCAAGAGTACCATCGGCAGCACCCGCCCCAAGCCATTGCTCTGGCCGTTTCGGTCACCAGAAATATTTTTTTCTGTATCAGACCAGCAATTGTGGTTGGGAATTGGTGTGTGGCATTTTGGGCATCTTCCAAACTTTTGTGCATCAACTGTACCACCTGATTATGCACCTGATAAAACACCACGTGATTCGCCTTTGTTTGTGTTAACAGTGACAGAACGCCATCAATGACTAGACAGCTGCTCGTGACAGGCTCGAGGCAGTTTCACAAACCCTCAGCATTCCACCACGAGTTGGCCAAACGCAAGGGCAGCTGTGCAAAACTCATTTTTCCAGGGCAGCTCCGCAAGGGGCACGCGCGTTGTCACTGTACCGTTCCATCCACTCGAACGTTTTTTTTCGACCAGGACATCCGTCTCGTCACCCAAAGCCACTACAGAGGCAGAGCCTGGTTTCCCCCGTTCCCCCAACCTCCTCTCTCGATATCCAGGGCCCAGGCATCTCCCCGAACCACGCCTCCCCTTACGCCCCCTCGCCTCCCCTTACCTCCACCCTACCTCCGCGCCCCCACAAACTAACACACAACCTCAAGCGTGCGCGCCAAACCCTAGGTTCCGCACCGCATCACAACCTCCGTGTCCTTCCGCGCCTGTTTGTGTGGCCTGGCTGCACTGGGTCATGCTGCAAGTACAGTAGCGCGCGGAGAATATCCCTCGCACCTGCCAAACGTCCCGCACCTCTCTCCTCCTCGTCAAGTGGGGGGAGAAATCCCCCGAACCAACCAGTTGCCTTGCCGCCCTTTCCTCCTACCTCCCTCTTCTCTTCCTTTGGCTCGGTCCAACCACTTCTTCCCTCCCCCTCCCACTCCCTCCTGTCCCCTCTTCCTCACCTCTACCCCCGCTCTCCTCTTTCATCTCCTTCCTCTCCTTTCCTCTCCTCCTCCCAGTGGGAGGCTCCCACCTGTCTCAAAGCTCAGCATCCTCGCTTCAGCATTCCGCCGTTTTCTTCTCCTCTCCGATTCAGCAAGTTTCCCTTTTCCGTCGACCTCAGCTTACAATTCCACCCACCTATCCACTCCACACATGCCTCCCCGAGATTGCCTGCCATTTTAGAACGAGCAACTTGCTTCTAGACGAGTGAAGAGACCTGCCAAGTCTATGCAGTTGAGATGCCCTGCCGACCATTCAAGGCCTAGGGTTTGATTATTGTTGCCTGTTACGTTAGTGAGCTTCACTGGAATCTCTAGCCCGGCCAGCTTCATCTGAATTTCATGCAGCAGTCCTGATTATTGTTGCCTGTACGTTAGTGAGCTTCTCGATTTATTTAATTCTTTATCACCGCCTCTCGCGGTTTTACTTGGACTCGTGACCCTTTCAAGCAGCCAGCATAGCTGAAGCAGAACGTTACCTCTTTAATATCTGACACTTCAGAACACCAAGTCTGCCAATATGGCGTGCATGAGCTTCATGGATGCGCTTAGAGTAGCCGCTAAGACGAAAGAAGCTCCATCGGAATGGTTCGGCTCCAACGGGTGGCCTGCAGAATGCCAAGAGCCGATTGCCATCCCGAATCTGAAAAAGAGAAAGCAGTGCGAATCCGAGCCACCTCGGCTCAAGCCAAGGACCCTTCCCGTCTCATCTGGACCACCCACCGGCTCTACTTCATCCACGAAGCTTCTCGTTCTCCCGGACCTGGCAACACTCGTGCCTCGGTCCGAGCATCGTTCCGAGCCTGCTTTGGTCCGCTGCAATAAATCGTCTGCGCCGTCTCGTCAGCCGTCGGATGCTCCTTGTTTGGTCCGTGCGTGCACCACCACCAACCGTGGGATGCGCCGAGATTCTCAGAATGACACGCTTCCTACTCCTCAGAATCCCACGCTTTCTTCTCGGCCTGCTCACTCTTCTGGGTGTGTAACCGCTTCTCAGCACCCACCGCCACCTTCGCGTTTCACTCCTAATGGAGCTGTCAACTTCGATTTCCATGATGCCGCTTCGGATTGGGTGAGAGCCGTCGCGTCCTCGTTAAGAGGAGAGTACGTCGTTCCGCCGCCGGCGACGGGCCGGAATCAGCCGACTGAATTCGTCCCGGAAAAGCCTGCTCAGGGGGAGCGGAGCAAGATGGCTCAACAGATAGACTTTCGCATCCAGATGCAGCAGCAGGAGGACGCTAAGCATGAGAAGAAGCTCAGTCTTTCCGAAATTCTCCAGTGGGAGGCGGAAATGGTTTCGTCGGTCTGTCCCAAAGCGCGTCCCGCTCCTCCAACGGTTAAGATTCCCGTTTTTGGTTTCTCGGATCCTCTGGAGTTGAAGCCTGCAGTGGTTGCTCCAGGTGCTGACGTGGAAGCCGAGAAATTGGACGATAAGTTATTTATTGATGAGCTGCTGATGGAATTTGGTGTGGAAGAGGAGGAAGCAGCGCAGCCGCAGCAGGAGCAGGAGCAGCAGCAGCAGATGCCACAGGTACAAGCCGTGGTGAGGCAGCCGCTTCAACAGCAGGAACAGCAGTATCAGGAACAACGTGAGCAGCAGCAGCAGCAGCAGCAGCAGCAGCAGCAGCAGCAGCAGCAGCAGCAGCAGCAGCAGCAGCAGCAGCAGCAGCAGCAGCAGCAGCACGAGCAGCTGCAGCAGCTGCAGCCGCAACAACACGATCAGTCGCAGCAAGCCCCAGTTATCCAGAAACGTCCGGCAGCTCCGCCTCTCGTCGACGTCGCGAATGTTGCCGCAACAGCTCCGTCAATGTTCGCAGACATGTACTCGATGTCAACTCCCGCCGCTGCTCCGTGTCCCACGCCCACCGGCTGGGGCTCCAACGCGTGGGAGCCTGCCGTTCCGCCGACCCCCTCAGGCATCCCCCCCACGCCGTCTGCTCCGGCCGGCGGATTTGCTTCGCTATGGTCGGAGGCGTGGACCGACGGCTTTAACGTGGACCTGTCGAGCCTGGCTGGTAACCCGGCGCTGTGGTGACGTACGGCTGACTTCTGTTCGTTTCGACAAAATTGGATTTATTTATAATTTCATGGTGTTTCGCGCATGAGCTGCGGGAGTGGTTAATGGCAACGTGGCTGTTGATCGGACGTTCAGACGCTGCAATCTCAGCCTGTCGCCTGCTGCCCTGGTTATCGGTGTTCATTGGATGGTGGTGATGGTGGTCATTTCCTGTTCATTCCCTTCGTGAGGAGCCGTTTCATGGCTGTCCACAGTGATGACAGTACGGCAGCCTTCAGGCTGCTTAGGTCACTCACTTTAGGGCCTGTATGGCCTTGGAGTGGGTTTCTGCTGGTCTTGAAGAGGCCGAATAAGTGGGGAATCACTTTTTGTTCCATGTGCGAGATGCATCATTAATAAGGTCTCTTTGTGGATAATTTGGTGTAATCTATTGATATTTCTGTTGGTGCGAATTCCTGGAGAGAGCACTAAATATATGGATATTCATTGTACATTTGACCGATCTTGGCATTTTGTAGGTGACTTGCCACGCCACCTGGTGGCTTGCAGTCATCCCATAATTCGGTGGGGTTGATTTGACCTCAGAAGAGTTAATATTCTTGTAAATTGTTTTAGACCGTACAGCAGGTGACTTGCCACGCCACCTGCTGTATATCACCTTACTGATCCGCATTGAAACGATTTTTTATGTTTGGAGTGTCGTCTGTCGCACAGCAGGTGTCGCGCGCATCCCCTCCGCCCGAGCTATTCCAATAATTCACGCTCCACCAGAGGGGGGGATGAGCCAATGTGAGCCGTACGATTTTAATCAGTCACCCCGTGAAAAAAAAAAAATTGAGCAGCTGTGAGCCGTGAGATTGATTAGCGATTGTCAGGGCTTGCAATAATTCACTTGCGTGTTAGACCAGAACAAGGGCAAGATTGCTCGCAGTCCTGCACATTATTCAAACATGCTCCAATCCTGTTGCTTCGTTCAACCTCCC